TCTTCTTCTTCTTCTTCTTCTTCTTCTTCTTCTTCTTCTTCTTCTTCCTCCTCCTCCTCCTCCTCCTCCTCCTTCCTCCTTCCTCCTCTTCTTCTTCCTCCTCTTCCTCTTCTTCTTCTTCCTCTTTCTCCTCCTTCTCATTTTTATTAACTTGAAATTTTGCATTGTAACCAGTGGTAGATTAATTACACAGCATAAACCTGTTTTTATTTTAGGGATTTTTCAGTTCATCCGTGCAAATAAAAATTTAAAAACATGGAGGGTCACATCAGGTTCCAAAGCTGCCAGAAGAATCCTAGAGGAGCAGTGAAAAAGGTAAAACCTTGGAGTTAATAATACTGATTTGGCTGAGCTACTATTTGATTGTTCTCGATAAAGCTTTTCTTTTTTCTGTACTCGGTTAAGAAAAGAAAGCTTCATACAATTTAGTAAGAAGGCTGCTATGCCAGGTTTAATAAGTCCCAGAGTCTGTAAATAAGCCTTGAAAAATAATTTTTTTAAAGATGGAGTCCATGCGTTGACCAAGTCCGTTCAGAGCCGGTGAGATGTTTTTTCTCTAGAAATTTGGAAACGATTTGGCCATTCCACAACCTCAACAACACTTGAATTTCTTTTTTTCTGGGTTTGAACATGAATAATTGTTCATGTTTTTCCTAGTGGAGTGAATTCTTGTCTCAAATGTCCTTGGATAACTCATCCAGCCTCTGCTGGAATGAGAAATTATAATAAATTTAATTAAATAAACCTTTCAAATCAGATCTTCTTCTCCCTCAACAAGCCCTCACTCTCCTAGCTTTGGGGGAGCCTTTAAAAAGATGGCTCTTCCCCCCAAATTCTTACGCTTATTTTGAATACCAGGAGGCTCAAAATCTTAAGACCTCGGGATAAAATACTAGTTTCTACACAATCCTGAGTTTTAAAAAAACAACTGCGACGTAAAGAAAACTTCACAGACTAGCTACAGGTGGTCCTCAACCTAGAACAACCACTGAGCCCATAATTTATGTCACTAAGTGAGAAATTTGTGAGGTGATTTTTGCCTCATTTTACGATTTTTCTTGCCACCGTTGTTAAGTGAATCCCTGCAGTGGAGTTAGTAACACGGTTCTTAAGTGAATCTGGTTTCCCCATTGACTTTTGGTCCCAAAAGGGGATGTGCGTTTACCACAACTGAGCCCCAAACTGAGCAAGACCGTTGTTAAGCGAGTTTTGCCTCATTCTGCAGCCTTTCTTGCCAATGTTCTTAAGTGAGTCACTTCAGTTGTTAAATTAGTAACACGGTTGATAAGTGAATCTGGCTTCCCCATTGACGTTACTTGTCCGAAGGTTGTAAAAAGGGGATTGTATTTACCACAAACAACCGCCAAGTTTTGGTTGCTAAGCGAGACCATTGTTAAGCGAGTTTTGCCTCATTTTGAGGCCTTTCTTAACACCGTTGTGAAGCCATTCCCCATAGTAGTTAAGTTAGTATAGGTTCTCCTGCTTGAGCAGGGGGCTGGACTAGAAGACCTCCAAGGTGCCTTCCAGCTTTTTTCTATTCTATAGTAACACATTTGTGAAATGAATTTGCCTTTCCCATCAACTTTGCTTGTCAGAAGGTCATAAAAAAATCACATTTACCAATCCCTCCCTCCCTCCCTTCCTTCCTCCCTCCCTTCGTTCCTTTGTTTTTCTCTCTCTCTCTCTTTCAAAAACAGGCCTTCGGCGAATCTTCCCTCTCTCCTACGACGCCATGGTTGCAAAGTCAAAAACCATTGTGCCCCATATCAACAGAGGAGCTATCCAAAGAAGACGAACGTTTCAACGAGGTTTGGCGTCTCTTCAGTTTTTAAATTCATAATGATAATACAAAAAATACGATTTACGCGTAATAGGCCCTTCCAGCCGCCTCCCACCTGTAATTAACTCTGTTGTTTTTGCTTCAGTCATGTTGGTCGATGGAGGTTTAAGTCCTGTTGTTTCCTCCCTTGCCATATCCACCTTGGATTGCTTATCTTTAAGAAGTGATGTTAACCTGCAGCTATTGCAATTTGTTGCTTGGCCCGTGACCTTGTGGTCGGTCTGTGACACTTGCAAGGGCTAAATTGATTAATGATATATAAAGGCATAGGTCTCTGTAATGGTAGCTAAATACTCTGGTGATGTCAGCAGAGGCTGACAAAAGCTTAGGAAGTATAATAAATATGTTTTTAGTTCCGGAGATCGCAAGGTGTCTGTTTCTTCTCTTACAAGTATACCTGGAACTCGTATTTTTAGAATAATTTATAATATATAATGTATTTTTATTATAGGTCACGTTTCTCTGTTTTGCTAATGAGACTGCTATTTCACCCAAGGTAGGTTCCTCTTTGAGTCAGAAGATATTATCACAAAGTTGTGCTTCATATTTATTTATTTATTGATTGATTGATTGATTGATTGATTGATTTGATTTGTCAATTGCTTACAAGATAATAGGTATAAGTATAAGCATGAGTAAGAATACAGGAAATAGGTACAAATAAATGGGGACAATAGGACAGGCATAATGGTGCACTTATGCACGCTCCTTACAGACCTCTTAGGAATGGGGTGAGGTCAATAGTGGATAGTTTGAGGTTAAAGGTTAGAGGATTAGAGGATGTAACAACAGAGTCAGGTAGTGCATTCCAGGCATTGACCACTCTGTTGCTGAAGTCATACTTTTGTCGTACAATTGAGTTTGAAGTGGTTTACATTGAGTTTGTATCTGTTGTGTGCTCTTGTATTGTTGTGGTTGAAGCTGCAGTAGCCATTGACTGGTAGGACGTAGCAGATAATTTTGTGTGCTATGTTTAAGTCTAACCGTAGGTGGCGTAGTTCAAGGTTGTCCAAGCCCAAAATCTCAACCCTGGTGAGATAGGGTATTCTGTTGCGAGCAGAGGAGTGTAGTACTCTTCTCGTGAAATACTTCTGGACTCGCTCGATTGTATTAATGTCCGATATGCAGTGCGGATTCCAGACAGATAAGCTGTATTCGAGTTTTGGTTTGGCAAAGGTTTTGTATGCCCTAGTCAGTTATTTCCGGAGGAGAAGCTTCGTAAGATTAGATTTACAACTCTTAATGCCTTTTGGGCAATGCTGTTACAGTGAGCTCTGGCGCTTAGGTCATTTGATACGAGAACTCCAAGGTCCTTGACAGAGTGAGGGTCATCAACGAGGTCATATCCGCCTAACTTGTATTTGGTGTACTGATTTTTTTTTTTTTACTAATGTGTAGGACAAAGCATTTGTTGGTCGAGATTTGGAGTTGCCAATTGTTTGACCATTCAGACACATAATCAAGGTCGCTTTGAAAGACGGTAGCGTTGGTGTTGTTGAATAGTTTGACGTCTTCCGCAAAGAGGACGCAGTTGCTTATAAGGTGATCGCAAAGGTCATTTATATAGAGTATAAAGAGTGTGGGTCCTAGAACGTTAATAAGAGTAACAAATTCTGTCTACATTCCAGTTAAAGGCGGTCCTTGACTTAACGACCACAATTGAAACCAAATTTCCATGGCCAAGCGAGACATTTATTAAGGGAGTGTTGTTTCATTTTATGACTTTTCTTGCCGCAGTTGTTAAGTGAATCCCTACGGCTGTAAAATTAATAACCGGATTCGTAAGTCACTCTGGCTTGTGACGAAGTCGCCAAAGGAATCATGTGTCCCCGGGGACGTGGCAACCGTCATAAATACGAGTCAGTTGACAAGCATCATGAGTTTTTACTGTGGTGATGGAGCGGGGATGCTGCTACGGTCATAAGTGTGAAAAATGGTCATCGGTTTCTTTTTTCCCAGTACAGTTGTTAAGTGAATCTGGTTTCCCTGTTGACTTGGCTTGTGGGAAGGTCACATACGCAACCTGTTCTGACCAAGGCTTCCCAAGACCATGAAGCCAACTCCTCGTCCTGATAAAACTCCTTTTATTTAGATTAAAATGAATTCCTCTCCAGCAAAGTCCCGGCCAACAGTCTTTCAAGAGATTGCACAACTGCGAAATCGTTTTTGGGCTCATCCTATGCAGGAAAACTCCAATGTTTGGGATGAAAAACTCATTGGGGGCGGGGAGGAATTTGCTGATAATTGCTCTACTCAGTGGAATTGTTGTTCAAGGGTGCTTTGCTTGGCTTAGGACCTGGCGACCGTCTCGGGGGGCCTTCCAGAGGTTCTGAAATCAAGTCCCTGGTGCAGCCTGCATGACCAGGAAGCTCTTTTGCTGAAGGATACATGCAAACCGGCGGAGGGTGGTGACGCCTTCAGGCAAAAGGTAAGAGAATCGAATGCGCTGCTATTAAGAGAATAGGACCGAACAGAATAATACAGAGAATGGGGGAGAGAAAGTAGAGTAGAGTAGAGTAGAGTAGAGTAGAGTAGAATAGAATAGAATAGAATAGAATAGAATAGAATAGAATAGAATAGAATAGAATAGAATAGAATAGAAATTGGAATGTAGAATGTAGAATGTAGAATGTAGAATGTAGAATAGAATAAGAATGAATAGAATAGAGTCGAATAGAATAGAGTCGAATGTAATAGAATAGGAATAGGAATAGAATTGGAATGGAATGGAATAGAATGGAACGGAACAGAAAACAGAGTTGGAAGGGAACTTGGAGGTCTTCTAGTCCAATCCCCTGCTTAGGCAGGAAACCCTATTATACCATTTAAGACGATCTCCTCTTAAAAACTTCCAGTGTTGTAGCATTCACAACTTCTGGAGGCAGGTCGTTCCACTGGTTAATTGTTCTCACTGTCAGGAATTTCCTCCTTAGTTCTCGGTTGCTTCTCTCCTTGATTAATTTCCACCCATTGCTTCTTGTCCTGCCCTTCTAAGTGCTTTGGAGAATAGCTTGACTCCCTCTTCTTTGGGGCAGCCCCTGAGATATTGGAAGGCTGCTCTCCTGTCTCCCCTGGTCCTTCTCTTCCCTAGGCTAGCCAGGCCGAGTTCCTGCAACCGTTCTTCCTATGTTTTAGCCTCCAGTCCCCTAATCCTCTTGGTTGCAATGCTCTGCACTCTTTCTAGAGCCTCAACATCCTTTTTTACATCGTGGCGACTAAAACCGGATGCCGGATTCTCAAATGTGGCCTTACCAAGCAGTCCGTGACACATGGCCACAATTGAGGGCCTCATTTCTGTCAGTAAGTGAGACAGTTGTTGAGTGAACTTTGCCCCATTGTACAACCGAGGTCACGTGATGCCATTTTGCAACCTTCTCACCAACCAGGTCAATGGGCGGGAGAGCCAGATTCACTAAACAGCCGTGTTACCAACTTGTTAACCGCAGTGATTCACTTAACAACTGCAGCGAGGAAGGCCCTAAAACGGGGGCAAAGTTCACTTTACCGATGTCTCACTTAGCAACAGACATTGGGGGCACTGTTGCGGTCGTAAGTTGAGAACCAGCCGTAGCTACTGATAAATGAACCATGTTTTTTTTTTCCCCTCTTCTCTTTTCACCAGAAGTGTTGTTCACGGGTATTGTGCGTGATGAGATTGTCGTCTTCGTTTCCGAGGCCGACGGGGGATGCCGTATTTACTCTGCTGAGCAAGTACACGGCCGCGATCAGATGCAGTGAGGAGATGCGCTCGTTTCCCAAACAGGCCCCGGACTCCACCCACCCGGAGAATGATGACACCAATCAATCGGTCTCCTCCATCGAAGACGATTTCGTGACCGCGTTGGAACACTTCGAGGAAGATGAGCCGGCAAAAATGATCCATATTGGTTAGTGGCCCCTCCCCCTGGGAGATTGTAACTATTTTCAATATTTTGAATTTTTTGCAACGGATGTTTAATGGCACGTTCCTCTCATTCAATTTGACCTTGCAGAAATATTTTCGTCTATAGCAGGGTCACCAACCTTTTGGACCTCAGGGGCCACCAAACTCATCATTTTGATAAATCCTGCGGACCAGAGACCCTAGGAAAATCCCGCAAAAAAGGTCTGCAGGAAAATTCCCCGCCCCGTTTTCCTACCGATCGATCATTCTTTATTTGGGATCGCAGGATACCGTCTCCAGCTCCGTTCTCAGGAAGAGAGAGAGACTTTTGGCTCCATGCAAGGAAAGCAGCAGAAGCAGCAGAAGTCTTTCTTTCTCTCCCCCAAACTCCACCAGAAATGAGTCTTTGTGAGACTTGTCATGCTGGCGCAGCCTCTTGGAGCGGGAGGCCTCGTCCCAAAGACTCATTTCTGGCGGAGTTTGGGAGAGAGAAAGAAAGACTTTTGCTGCTTTCATTGCGTGCATCCAAAAGCAGAAGAAGAAAAAAACAGAAAGAAGCGGCCCAGATGAGGCGCGTGGGGTGAGTGGGGCAAGTCCCCCCACTCCACCCTTTCCCCCCTCCCCTCACTACCTGGTGTTGGTCGCAATCCAAGTGACGAACGCCTTGTGTTCCCGCAGGCCATGTGGGCAGCTCAGCCTTGTGCTCCCGTGCAGCCGGGATTAATTGCTTTGGGGGAGACATTTCTCTGCGGACCACCAAAATTTTCTCGTGGACCACCAGTGGTCTCCGGTCCACTGATTGGCAACCACTGATCTATAGTATGTTGTGTAAGGGCGTGGTGGTTAGAATGCTGTATCGCAGAGTGACTCTGCTCACTGTCAGGAGTTCAGTCATGACCGGATCAAAAACTCAGCCTTCCATCCTTTCGAAGTTCGTAAAATAAGGACCCAGATTATTAGAAGTCTGAGTGCTATTGCTGTTTTTGTGTTGGGGTCCTTGGTGCTCTCTGAGCTCGGTTGTTTTCTTACAGACATTTCATCACCCAACTAGGTAACATCATCAGGCAGCAGACTTTGTAGCATTTCAGACAAGGGTTGTCCATTTTTTTTTCTTAAAAACCTCCAGTGTTGGAGCACCCACAACTTTTGAAGACAAGCTGTTTTACTGATTGATTGTTCTCACTGTCTTGAAATTCCTCCTTAATTCTAAGTTGGTTTTCTCTTTGATTAATTTCCATCTGTTACTTCTTGTCCTACTTTGGAGAAGAGGTTGACCCCGCTCTTCTTTATAGCAGCTCCTCAAATACTGCTATCATATCACTCCTAGTCCTCTTTTCATTGAACTAGACATATCCAATTCCTGCAAATGTTCTGTGTATGTTTCAGCCTCCAGTCCCCTAATCTTTGTTGCTCTTCTCTGCACCCTTTCCAGAGTTTCAGTATCATTTTTTACACCAGGAACCTATTGATTGCTAAGGGTGTAGTTGTATAGACAACTTCCTTCAAAACTGCCCTCTTGAGTTTAGTGGAACTTGCTGTTAAGTGAATATGGGAATTTCATACGATAAATCCAGAGGCCGAATTTTTTTGTATTGTTTCCTAATTCTGTTAGTTGACTGATTTTGAATCATGTGCCATTCAGCTTGTGTCAAGTCTTAGTAGCCACAAAGATAGACTGTTGTGTCCTGTCAGCCACCAGCCCCAAAGGAGGAGGAGGAGGAGTCAGGGTCAGCATTAGAGCAACCTGAGAGCTTTGAGAGGGAAGAGGGAATGGAGCTGGCAGAGAGAGAGAGAGAGAGAGAGAGAGAGAGACCAAGAGAGAGAGAGAGACCAAGAGAGAGACCGAGCCTGGGCCTGGGCCATCTGTCAGCCCTCAGATGGAGAGTCAACAGCCCCCAGGGCTCGAGGTGTCTGATAAGGAAGAGGAGGAATAGCTCAGCTGGTGCCTGATGTGCAGATGCTCAGAAGGCAGAGGAGAGGAGAGCTGTGGAAATCTATGGGCCGGTCCTTGGGAAGGAAGAGCCACCACTGCTAGCGAAGTCTCACTCTAGCTCTGGGGATAAAAGGCAGGGGACGGAGGTGAATAGGTGTGGCAGGCAACTATTCATTTTCTGGATGGACGGACTCATTAACCTGTGAGAGAAACTTTTTGCCAGGGCTGCCGGCATTCTTAATAAAGTAATCTTTTGAGTTCACGTCAGAGAGTTTGTCATGTTTGGGGGACCTGGGTCAGAACACAGACTTTCTGCAAGACAGCTTACGAAAATGTCTCCTTTTTCTTTTCTTTCTTTTCTGCCCCTTCTGGACAGAACCTGAGAAGAGTCAAGAGGTTTCTCCAAAGTCCACCTTTGCTCATCCTCTCAAATCCAACGATCAAAAGTCCTTTGTCAGTTCTGTGTATCGGAGGCCATCGGTCAAGTCCTCCATCTCCTTGGTGAACATCTTAGAACTTGAAGAATTGTCATCTTCCGTGAGAAATTCAGTCTCCACTTCCATTTCTGATCCTTGGATACAGAGAAGCTTTTTCAGGCCCCATAGTTCTTCGGATCGTGGTGTTAATCTTTTGCACAAAACCTTATTTTCTTCCTCTCCGGCCGATTCGTCCGAATCGGACTGTTCTAGTCCAAGCCCTGTCATATTTTTGGATGAAGAAGGGTATCAAAAAAGTTTGAAGGCAAAGCTTCAGCTGCCGAAAATCCCAGTAGGGAAAGACGGAGTTGAAGATTCCGACTCTGAAGTCAGTGAGTTTTTTGATAGTTTTGACCAATTTGATGACCACGAACAAATTTCGGGAAATAGTTCTAAAGGTTCTAGAGATCCCACCACCATAAGTCATACGTTGCAGAAAAGCGTCGTTTCGTGTCAGAAGTCCTGCTCCACCTCAACATCAATGAATCCTCAAAAATTCAAGTGTGATCGTCCAGTTCTTCCAGCCAATGTAAGGAAGCCAACTCCTCGCAAGCCAGAATCTCCATACAACAATCTCTTGGATGTCCCAGATTCTCCCCGCCTGATCAAAAACCCAACTGATGATCACACGTCCTTGTTCAGCCCCATCAGATCTTCTGCTTTCAGTCCGCTGGGCAGTTGCTTTCCCACAGAATGCCTCTGTCGAATGAATCGAGATGCCTTCAGCCAGAACCACAACCTCGTCTATCACACCTACTCGGATTTTGCAAATAATATTTCCTTTGAAATTCTGGGTTCTGTGTGTAATGCGAGGCCACCCTCATTGTGTAGATGCACACAGGAGATTATCAGCCAGGGTAGGATCGTCCTGGGAGAAGAGAAAGACCGGACGACAAAAATCCAACGAGACATATCTAGAAAAGGACTTCATAAGAAAGATAAATCCAAACATAACCCAGGAGTGATTAAAGATCACATCCAGAAATTTGCTTCAGAGCTAGTGGAAACAAGTTTTGGAAGTGCGTTTAAAGATCTCCAGAAGGGTGTTTCTTCGTGTACCAATGCGTTGTGTCAGTTGGCTGCTAAGTTGACTTCATCAGTGTTCCAGATGGCCTTCTACGAGATCGGGAGGCAGCAAGCTCTTTTTCTGAAGAAGAAAGCCATTAATGGTTTAGCAGGATTTTTGGTGAGTGAAGCCGTTACCGGAGCTTTGAAAGAACTGTACTCCGTGAAGCAACAAATGTTTACCAACACCGTTACCAAATTTGCAGCAAACCTTGCCGAGGAACTGATATTTGAAGGGATAATGGAAGTTTGTCAGTTTTCACATCCGCCGACACCCACGGCGTCCCATCAGGGCTCCTTCCGTTACAACGATAACGTCATGTGGTCCTACGCGGAAGACTTGTCTGAATCTGTCATCCAGGATGCTTTTATTGAGCTATCGCAGGTTGACGTGAACTTCACCTCGCAAGCTGCAATCAGTGTTTCCGTGGACAACATAAAATATGTAAGCAAGGAAAGGGCGCTGGAGTTAACCCACACATCCAATGGTTCTTCTGAGTTTTGTGAGAACATGCCAGTAGCCTTGAACCCTGTTTGGGAATTCAGAAAGGAACACACCATTAATCGAGCCTTGTTCTACACAACGGGCATTGCGAGTTCAATTCCGGTGCCCTTAGCTGCAAGCATCCTTTCTCACCATCAGATTTTATGGAAGGAAGCCAAAGTCAAGAATCCGTTGGCATCTGAGACCAAGCTTTCCTTCTACAAAGGGTCCCCAGAAATGTGTTGTGCCACCAAAAGGAATCAAAGCGAAGTGTCATCCCTTAGAAATATCTACCTGACTACTGATTTCACACCAGACAATGAATGCAATCCACCCAACCATCCCGAGGCCAGCAAACTTGCAGAAATATCGAGCCTCAATAACTTTTCTGGAACGATGGTCGATATGATCGTATCAGAAGCCTATGAAGCCGTCGCTTCTTCCAGGGTTTCTAAATCGGCAGAGCAGTACACGGATGTGCTACAAATGAAGGATGCCCCCTGTTTGCAGTGCATCGGGAAGGATTCCTGCAAGAATATGTTTGCTAATTATTTGGCCAAACGGATCATAAAACAGTCGGTTGATGAAACGAAATTGGCGTGTTCGGCTACGGGTGAGAAATTAGCCTACTGTGTTGGGTTGGGAACCCATGCCGGAAGCGATAAGAAGGAATCTCGGGGCGCAGCCAAACAAGGGGACAAAACGAAGACCATCCCAGTTATCGTGGGTCAACAGCAGATGCCTTTAAACAACATATCGAAATTTCATATCTCTAGCACTTCTTCTAATCGTTGTTTGATGTTGGGGTGTAAAGATGGAGTTCAGGAAAGAAAGAACCGGGCAGCTTGCAAGCTATCCGCAAATACAATCTCTCCTACGGTGTCATTTGTCAAATCTAAGGAGCAGGTTCCAGATGTGGAAGGCAGTTCAGCAATACCTTTCAGTAACTTACTTGAAAAACAGAGCGAGTTGGAAGGCACAGGAGATTCTGCGTTTAGTCACAAAATGCCTTTTTTGGAAATAAATAATTCTTCCATGGTGTCCACTTGTGAAGATGCACTTCAGCTGGAAGATAAATTGAATGTCAGAGACAGAAATCTTCTCATGGTACCAGAAACACCACCCTCGACACCTTTAATAGCTTCTCAGGCGAATTCGGAGTGGAATTTAAGGAAATTAACCCAAACACTGAAAGGAGAATTAGCAAAGGAATTTGCGCCTGCTACTCCCCCTTCGACTCCTTACATACAGGAAACAGATGGAATATACACTCCAGAATGTGAAAATGTCGAAAAGGAAGAATTTATGTTGAAATTAATGCGTTCTCTTTCCGAAGAAGTGAAAAACAAGGAGGTTGAAGAACATTCTGAAACACTGTTAGAGCAAATTCAACCTTCGGGACCGACAATAGAGTATGCTGATCATCTAGCTGCTCGTATCGTATCTATGGCAACCGAACAAGCCACTTCACGTTTTGAAGATAAAGCTGTTCCGATGGAGAAGAAGAGATACTTTCAAGTAAGCACGGAAGACCAGAAAAGTAGGTGTTCCACGTTTGTTAAGGTTCCAGAAAAACACACACCTGCTTTGTGGATTTACGCCGGTGAAATGGCTGGGAGGGTCATTTGGGAAGCGAAGAAAAGGCTCAAATCAAGACATTGTAAACTTCTGAACCTCCGTCACATTAATTGCGAGGGCGATGGGTGTCAGCCTAAAAGAAATTACCACGAATGTTGGTTGAAAGACAAAAGACCAAAGCTCTCTTCTAGAGAACCAGATGGTTGCGTTCTTCCTGCACCCCTGAATTCGGAAGCTTCAGGACTCAACTCCAAATACCCAAGCTGCGAAAGTGTGACAGATGAATATACCGACCACATCATTCGGGTTTTGAAACAGGAAGGTGGCCACGGGGACCTCATCATGGATAATTTCGCCGGTAGGCTGGCTTACAAAGCGGTGAGGTCTGGAATGCAGCAAGCCACCAGGAAAGTCCGGGTGAAGCACAGTAGGAAGGCTGCTCCTGAAAAGAGCTTCAAGCTAAACAGTAAGCTCGAACTGTTCGAGGCAACGAAACAGGACTTAGATAGAAAGAATCAGAACAATAATGGCACGACGCTTCACCTCGCGAAGCAACCTTGGATGAGCAGGTGCCCCTTACACGGGCCCGAACGTTCAAAGTTGCTTGACTTTTCGGAATCTCTTGCTTGTACAATCACCTCTGATGCCAGTGGGACGTTCATGTCCACGACAAGTTTGCCCAAATCTTTAACGGATTCTTGCTTGTACCAACCACCGAGAGACGACAAAGTCACAGAGTTCAAAACCCTGTGGAGTCAAAGACTGCCTTCTTCCCGTTGTAAGCAGAAGCTGTATCACAGCACGGAGAGTTTGAGGGACTCGACTTACCAAGAGAACATTTTACAAGCCGTAAACCAATATGCGAAGAAGATCGTAGATGATACTTTAGAAGGGAGCTTAGGATCAGCCACTTGGCAAGCTCCTGAAGGCTGGACAAATGGAGAGAGGTTAACCTATGAAGAAAAAATGACTCCATTTTCCGTAGCTGCCTGCAAACACTGCGGTTTGAAAGAACAACAGACCTGCATTGGAGGTTCGTCTCTGGCGCTAGCTGGACGAGAACTTCCTTCTAACGTTAGACAGTCTTCAGATGGGAGTGTAAACATCACCTTGCCTAAATCTCTCGTGTTTCATTTGGACATTCCCAAAATTCACGTTGATATGGAGGAGAAGGTCCTAGTTGCTGAAAACCTGTCACCTGTCACCTTGGACCGAGCGAGGAGGCAGCTCAGCAACGCCAGTTTGACGGCGGATAGTGGAATCAGTCAAGATGGAATCAGTTTTGCCGAAAGTCTAACCACAGAAATTATGACTTCCTGCGTGACAAATATTGCTCCAGCCATCAATATAAGGTAGGGTTGATTTTTGCAGGGAATATATAACTATAGAGCAGGCAGAGTTGGAGTGGGGCGGAGTTAAATGAGTCATTGCCTAGAGTCCCATAACATCCACATAAACAGTCTAAGTCCAGCTCCTCTTGAATTCTCTTGACCCTTATCTGGCACCAATTAAGTGTTGAACTTGAGTTGACTAGATTAGGAGAAGAGAATCTGGGGGAAGGAGTTAAATGAATCACCAGCCTAGAGTCATTATGTTCCACAAACTGTGTAAGTCCAACCCACATGAATTCCGTTGACCCTGATCTGGTGCCAATTTACTATTGAAGTTGAGTTTGACTAGATTAGGAGAAGAAGAGCAGGGGGAGGAGTTAAACGAGTCATCAGCGTAGAGTCATTATGTTCCCCCCAAATGGTCTAAGTCCAACCCCTTTGAATGCTGTTGATCCTTCTCTGGTGTCAATTTAGTACTGAACTTGAGTTTATTAAATTAGGAGAAGAGAGGCAGAGCTGATGGGGTTGGACAACAAGTTGTCAGTCTAGAGCAGTAGTGGCTAACCTTTTTCGGCTCCCATGCCAATAATTGTGCGCACACTCACTTGCATGTGCCAGCACCCAGAAGGCAATGCGTGCTGCCCCCCAAGCCCTCTGCACATGCATGCGTAACTCCCTCCTCACGCACCACCGCGCACATGACTCCCTCACATCCCGCATGTCTGCTCACGTGCATGCGATTGCACCCGTGCACCCGTGCATCTTTGAGCATGCATGCATGATTCCCCCCTCATGCGCCACATGTCTGCACATGTGCGCATGATCCCCTCGCGCACAGCATGCCCTTGTGCATGCATGCACGTCTCCCATGCACCCCCTCTGCTCCTTGCGCATGTGCACCAGATACCGAACAATCAGCTGTCGAGTGGCGGTGCACACGTGCATGTGCAATGGGGCTTTTCTGGGTGACCTCTCATGTGCCAGGGAATTGGCTCTGCGTGCCACTTCTGACGTGTGGCATAGGTTCGCCAACACGGGTCTAGAGTTACTACCTTCCCACAAACCATGTAAGTCCAACCCCTCTTGAATTCTGTTGACCTTCATCTGGCGCCAATTTACTATTGAACTTGAGTTCAATCTAATTGATTAGATTGAATCTAATCTTAATTGACTGGATTAGAAGAAGAGAGACAGAACTGGTTGGGGGCAGAGTTAAACAAGTTATCATCCTAGAGTCATTACGTTCCCAGAAGCAGTCCAACCTCTCTTGAATTCTGGCACCAATTTAGTATTGAACTTGAGTTGACTAAATTAATATCAGGAACCAAGAATCAAGAACCGTACGTTAGGATGCAGTTCAGAAGATTTATTGCTCAAGTCTATACACAAAAACATCTAAGGGGTGGTGCTGATGTCACAATGCTTGTTTCTGAAACAGCCCTTGGAATTTGAGGAGACCTCTGGAGTGGGCTCCAGGTAGGGGTCAACACTGAAGGAAGGTCAGGTATGTGGAATACAAGGACAAATAGTGATTCTACCTTTCTTACCTGTGTTAGTGCCATGGAAACTGGGGGGCCTAATTCTGCCGAGTCTGTGGTCAGCCAGCAAACTGGAGATGACGGCACCGGTAGCTGGTCCAACTTGAGTTTTGACGATGAGCATCCAGATGAGAGCAGCAGCTTTCTCCACCTCAGCGATAGGTAATTCAGCTCTATTTCTAACGTTGATTGATGACGTCCCATCAATCGGTGTCAACTCTTGGTGACCACCGAGACCGAACTTCTCCAGAATGAATAGTTTAATGTACAGTTTTGATGAGATGGCTTGACCAACCCTTCTTACACCGTTAAGGTCCAGGGTTGACTTTAACAGACTTGAGCGTGGCGTTTTTGAAATGTTGAATGGTTTATGTGTGAGATAAGGCATTTGTTACCCAAGAGCTGTGCTGGGTATGCAGCGGAATGCAGCATCGCAGGTGGACTCTGCCCACTGCCAGCAGTTCTATCCTGACTGGCTCAAGGTTGACTCAGCCTTCCGTCCTTCTGAGGTTGGTAAAATGAGAACCCAGATCGTTGCGGGCAAGAGGCTGACTCTGTAAACTGCTGAAAGTGTGCTGTAGAGCACTATGAAGCGGTATATAAATGCTAATGCTATTGCTATGAAAAACATTCCCACCCCCAGCAGTTCGATCCTGACCGGCTTAAGGTTGACTCAACCTTCCATCTTTCCGAGGTCGGTAAAATGAGCACCCAGATTGCTGGGGGACAAGATGCCAATTCGGTAAACCGCTTAGAGAGGGCTATAAAGCACTATGAAGCGGTATATAAGTCTAAGTACTAATACTATCGCTGTAAAAGCCATTCCCACTGCCAGCAGTTCGATCCTGACCAGCTCACCGAGCCTCTTATTAAAACAGCACATTCTTCTCTGCTGATAAAATACAGTGGGCGGGTTGTACAATATCAGGGCTAAAGTGACAAAGGAGGAAGGTTTTATGAGCCATGGTGGCACAGCAGTTAGAGTGCAGTACCGCAGGCTACTTCTGCTGACTGCCAGCTGCCTGCAATTCGGCAGTTCGAATCTCACCAGGCTCAAGGTTGACTCCGTAAAATGAACCTAGATTGTTGGAGGGCGCTGGCCAGGCCCACCCCCAGTTTAGCGAAGGGGGGGAAAGTTGCAATTCGCCACATGACGACAACGTGACGCCGCGAGGTTGATGCCCCTGTTTTAGACTCAAAGAGAGAACGGATCTAGAAGCAATCTGAGAAAACAGAGAGCGCAGGTAGCTCTGAGGACTCAGTTTCTTGACTTTTCTGTGGTGTTTTTTTTTTTTTTAACGACCAGCATCTGTGCCAGATGTTGACCCCACTTTACCTTCATGCATGTTCTGCCATCTCCATCTTCTCTGGTGCCTTGCCCCCCCAAGGTTGAAGGCCCTCAACTGGACCTTTGAGACAGACCCTCACAGATTGGGCAGCGGGAGGAAAAAAAAAATGTGAACTGGCTTTTTCTTCTCTTGGGAGGCCATTCTTGCTTTCCGTTCTTGGATGCTTCTCAAAAGAGGTCCAGTACCTCCATAACCATCTCAGGCAAGGGGTGTCAAATTCGATCTCTTTGGGGCATTCAGCGTTCTCGTTGACCTCCATGGGCCAGTGTCCGGTTGGGGGCGGGGGCGAAGGAGTCGGCAGGTGCAGGTGCCGCACAAAAGTTGGGGTATATGCGCACGCAGCGCCTGCCCCCACCATCCCAGCCGACTCCCGCGCACACACTTGCCCGCTGTGATAGAATGGGCCAAACTGACGCTTCCTGGAGAGCCAGCTGCAGAACCCCGGCCGCCGGACACCTCAGCTCCCCCTGCACACATACACACAAACACCTGAGAAGCTGCTAAGCATGGTCGTCAGTTGGCCTGTATCGCTCCGCCCAGACCCGCCCAATCCCAACAGGTGCACGCGCACACAGACGTGGCCCACGCTATCCCGGGAAGGGGCACGTGTACACAGGAGTCAGTGGGCGCGTGCGCTAATGCCGAGATTGGCGTGGGCCAAGCCTGTGCGCACGTGCGCTGCAGAGTCCTCTATGCACGTGCCAGTATGGCGGGGGGGCTAACCTGGGCGCACATGTCTCTGCCGGGATTGGGCGGGCCTGCTGGCCGAAGCAACGCAGCCCCTTACTGTTTCCAAGATGGCCGTGCATATTCTGGCCCAGCCAGCAAGAAACAGACTCCTTGTCATGAAAAACCCCTCTCTTTATTTACCTCTTGTGAATTTATTTACCCACCAAAAAAGTCCAGGCAAGAGTCCTTCCAAGAGCGAACGGCAGCAACAGACCTTATCAGTTCCTTGGGATGATTGCAAGGCCGGGAGCTCCCAGCTGAAAGGCTGCAAATTAAGTTCTGTCCATCAATCTCTGTGGCACGAAACACAACGAACAAAATCTTCGGAAAGGACAAACTGGTGTCTCCTAGGACTACCACTCCCCTTTCCTTCTATGTATTCCTCCAGCCAGGGAGGGGCCATTCAGTGTCCACGTGTGCTTTGCTCCCAAGTCAACTCATCAGCAGTTGTTACCTTCTCCTAACACCTCTGCGCATACGCGCGCCTGGAACAGGCCCCAGCTATTCCTCCTCCCCACTTGTCTCAGCTTCTGAAGGCAGCTGCCTCTCTGGTGGCTGGGAAATGTCAGACGGCCCTGGCTCTATCTCTGCGTCCAACACAGCATCCATCAGAGCCTTCCCCAGATGCCAGAACTGGCCCAAGTCCCGTCCCCACTTCAACCTCCTCATCGTCCGAGTCTGTTGCCAGCTCTGCTGGCAGCTGGCGGGCCACAACAGTGCAGGCCAGATCCGACCACATCGTGGGCTGGATCTGTCCCGCGGGCCTTGAGTTTGACACCCCCTGATCTGAGGCTAGTCAATAGGAACTTCTGGTTGGAGCTAACTATCTATTTTTTCGTAGTTGAGCCCTCTTCTCTTCTCTTCTGGCAGTAATGGTAACAGCAGTAGCTGGAGCAGTCTTGGTTTAGAAGGAGATTTGTATGAGGAGAATTTGTCCTTCCCGACATCCGACAGGTTGGTCAAACCAAGACCCAACAACAGGACCGGTTTCCCCCTTGTGTTTTCATGCATGGCCGTGATTACTTTTTCCAAGACCAACAATCTGGAGGGGTGGGGGGGCGCATTTCAGCCTGGCGGTTTCGCTCTCGGCGTTTGCTTCTCAGTCCTTAACAATCGTGCTGTTCCTTAACCAACTCCATGCAGAGCGGGGTCTGTTTGATCGCCTGACGGTGCGAATACCTTTGACGGAAAAGAACGGCGAACATCCGATCTGTGTTGTCGTCGTGCATGTCTTGCTAGTTGTGCCTCTTGCCGATTTATGTCTCGCTGAAGAATAAAGAGCTTGCTTCCTGCACTATTCCTGATTTTGTTTTGTTTTGTGTTAAACACCCAATTCCTGATTCGTTCTCCTCGCTCTCAGCTGCCCCTTGGAAATGTTGTGTAGACATTTGAAGCAGTACAGGTCGTCCTCGGCTTACGGCTGTCCTTGAGGCCCCCCCCCAAAAAATGTTTGTAGTTAAGAGGAGACATTTTGTTAAGTGAGTTTCGTCCTATTTTACAAACTTTCTGTCAGGATTCCAGCAGTTACTCCCATTTAAATCCTGAGTCTCAAGCCAAACTTCCAAAACTTAAAAAGGATATATTGGGAATTAAACCGTCCAGCATTGTCTGGGTGTATCATAATCCGTATTCTCCAATGGGACACATCCATAGCCCAGAGTCATCAATCATGCTCTCCAGTTAGAATTTTGCACGACAGAAACTTCGATCACCTAGTTACTATCTTTGAAAACATTTATGGAATGCAGTTTCAGTTTGGAAGCTGCTGCACTGCTCCCCTTTCTGTTGACAGCTCTAAAAAGACCTTAGAAAAAAAAATTATGAGTTGACACTTTCGTTGCCTCGTTCGTTCAGCGAATCGTGGCGGTTGGTCAGTTAACTCATTTTGTTAAGTGAATCTGTCTTCCCTCACTGACCTGGCTGGCCAGAAGGTCATAAAAGAAGACCGTGGACACAGCAATGGTCATAAGTCTGAACCAGTTGCCAAGCTGTTCTGACCCAAACCCTTGTCCAATAAAACCAACACGAACCAAAGGGAACAGAAACCTTTTAATGATTCTTACGAACCACCCCTGGTTAAAAGGCTGCTGCAAACGAATTAACTTTGATAAGCACAAGCGTCGCCAAAACTGTGCGTGGCTGCCAAGAATAACAGATAAGGTTACCTAGAGATATTTTACAACACAAGAGTCTTCAAATACCAACTTAGGATACTGCAATGTCCACGAGGCTGGAGTTTCAAAACGTCTTTGCTTCCTGCAAAGAACGTCCGATTCACAGCTGGCTTTTATCTTCTTGAAGGAGGGGCCATTATCTTGCAGCCTTACTCCCGAGTCGCCTGTGCTGTTGCAGCTGCTCTTTCCTACAAGCAGCCCTGTGTGCACGCACACTTGGCACAGGCTCCTCGGGACCCTCCTCCTCATTGCCGCCAGCCCCCACAATCTCTGAAGGCAGCAGTCCACTCCCTGATGGTCCTAGCCCCTCATCTGAGTCCTCGCTCTCCTCAGCCGTCGGCACCTGCTGCCGGCTAACCACAATACAAGCGCCCGAGTTTGGATCCCACAAACATGCTGGAAATGCATAACGGGATGCTGGAAAAGTCGTAACTGAAAAACGTTCATAACATCCCTGTTTTCATTTCCGTTGTAACTTGGAATGGCCACTAAATGAACCGTCGTAAGTCGAGGACTACCTGTATTTTCTTTTTCAAATCATTGGATATTTATCTTTCTTTAAAAAAAAAAAAATAGGGGGACTTTCATTTAATTATTTCCCCAGGAAATGGTGTGAGAAGCAAGGATTTCTTTTTTCACCGTAATTTTCCTCACAACTTTTGTCGATTCATGCTATTCTTTCTTGAATGTTCATCCCGGCCTGCGCGTCACCGAACAGATATAATATATACGGTTGCCGGTCCTCATGGGTCTTCCTTCTTTTTCTAGCGATGGCACAGAAGACAAGGAGGAAGAGCTGAAAGATTCCATGGAAGGTAAAGTCAAAGAGGAGTGAATGTGGATTAGGTTGGAAGTGATATTCAGTCCAGTTGGGTCACCGTGATGGGAAAAAAAAAAGAAAGATGTTGAGGGAATGAAGAGATGATCAGGGAGCTGGAGGTTGAAACATAGGAGGAACGGTTGCAGGGATTGGGTATGTAGTTCAGGGGTGTCCCAACTTGACCACTTGAAGACCTGTGGAGCTCAACCCAAAGAGAAGAGCAATGAAGATGACTTGAGGCTAAACCATATGAACAATGGTTGCTGGAACTGGGGATGTCTAGTTTGTTGAAAAGAAGGACTAGGTGTGATATCATAGCAGTCTTCCAATATCTCAGGGGCTGCCCCAAAGAAGAGGGAGTCAAGCTATTCTCCAGAGGACCTGAGAGCTGGACAAGAAGCAATAAGGATGGAAACTAATCAAGGAGAGAAGCAACTTAGAACTAAGGATGAATTTCCTAACAGTTAGAACAAATGGCTTCCGGAAGTTGTAAGTGCTCCAACAACTGGAAGTTTTTAAAGAGAGTTGGAAGGGACCTTGAAGGTCTTCTAGTCCAACCCTCTGCTCAAGCAGGAGACCCTACACCATTTCAGAGAAATGGCTGTCCAATCTCTTCTTAAAAACCCCCAGTAGTAAAACACCCACAACTTCTGAAGGCAAGTTGTTCCACTGTCACTAAATTCATCCTTAGTTCTAGGTTGCTTCTCTCCTTGGTTAGTTTCCACCCGTTGTTTCTTCTCCTGCCTTCAGGTCCTCTGGAGAATAGCTTGACTCCTTCTTCTTTGGGGCAGCCCCTGAGATATTGGAAGACTGCTATCATGTCACCCTGAGTCCTTCTCTTCACTAGACTAGCCGTGCCCAGTTCCTGCAACCGTTCTTCGTATGTTTTAGCCTCCGGTCCCCTAATCCTCTTTGTTGCTCTTCTCTGCATTCTTTCTAGAGTCTCAACATCTTTTTTATATTGTGTTGAGCAAAAGAATCCTTTTCTCCCCCATTCTTCACTCTTCCAGCAAAACGATATGTATGTGAGTCAGAGAGAGAGGAAGAGGGGGGAGAGAGAAGGACAGAGAGAGAGAGAGAGAGAGAGAGGAAAGAGGAGAGATAAGGATAGAGGAGAGCGAGAAGGAGAGAAGAGGAGAGAGGAAGAAGGAAAGAGAGAGTCGAAGAAGAGAGGGAGAGAGAAGAGAGAATGGAAGAAGATGAGAGAGAGAGAGAGAGTGGAAAGAGAGAGAGAGAGATATGAGCAATTCAAAAATGTGAACTATAAATAAAATAAATATAGCCCTTTGTATTTACTTGAAATTGAACTATAACTGCTGGTCTATTTCCCTTTCATCCACTTTGCAAAGATCTCGTTTTCTTTTCTTTTCTCTTGTGTTCATCACTTTGTGTAATTTGATGTAATTAGCAAACACACCTAACCTCATTGTGTTTTCCTATCGGGCACTAGCAGCCGTTGCTCTGTTTGCAAGACACTTTCCATAATCCCTTGACTAAAATGTGTGGCGGGTGGACTTACTTTTCCCTTTTCCTTGGCTTGTCCTAGAGTTGAAGAAACCTTCCAAAGCCTTGGTCCTTGTGAATGTGGACGTTGGACCATGCATGGTGGATCCTCAGCTGAGGATGACGCTGCAGTGGCTGAGTGCTTCGGAAGCAGATGTGCCAGAGTTGCGTTTCCATGAGGACGCACCCAGGGAGTTTGTTCTTGTGAGTAGCAAAGAGGCAGACCAGAGGTGGTATTCAGCCGGTTTGGACCAGTTCTGGAGAACAGGTAGCAGAAATTTGGAGTAGTTCAGAGAACCGGCAAAGTCCAGGGAGGAGGAACATGGACCAGTCCGGGAGTCTGGGGAGGACTCGGATGAGGGTTCTGTGTCCGATACAGAGATAGGACCAGGGCCATCTGGGAGTTTTGTGCCGACTCGGGAGCCTCCAGAATCTGAAAGCAGTGAGGCAGAGGAATAGCGGGAGCCTGTTCCCAGTGTGTGCATGCACAGAGCTGCCAGAAGGCAAGAACAGTTCAGACAAAAGGGGCAACTCGGGAGTAAGGCTTGGAGGTGATTGGCCCCTTCCGTAAGACATAAAGGAGCAAAGGGACACGAGCCTTTGCAGGAAGCAACTTTGTTCGTTCTGGTTGGTTTGAAACCCTGAAGCTCTGTGTGGACTTTGGACTTCATTTGGCTTTTTACTGTTCATTTGGCACTTTAGTTGTTGGCAGCCATTCAAAGGAGAGAAAGGTGGGTGCTTATCTTGAGGGACTGTTTGGGACTCATTACAGGCTGGGAATAAACATAATTCCCAGCACTGAAATAAAACAAGAGTTGTTTGGACTAAGCATGTGCTTAATTACGGTCTCAGGAAGCCTGGGTCAGACCCTGCAAAGGAGAATGGAGCTGGAAAGCAGGTTAGTGGGTGGGGAGTAAATAGGTATTTTGCAGTATCCTTACCCTGCCACGCCCACCAAGCCACATCCACCATGGCGCATCCACCACCAGCCATGGCGCACCAAGCCAGGCCTACAGAACCAGTAGTAAGAATTTTTTGAATCCCACCACTGTTGCAGACCCAATACAGACATAACAATAATTCCACTTGGACTTCAGTCTTCAGCCTTCAAACACTTGAAGGAACTCTTCTCTTGATGAAAAATCAGCGTGGAACCCATTCATACGTAGTTGTCAAAGATGCACTTGTTGGAACCACAGGTTAACGTCGCTGTGGCATGGTCCCAAGGAACAGAGTTTAAATTGCGGTCATTCCATCACAATGTCATAGCCAAATCTTTGTGATCTGTGGACACATCCGGTATCTTTGTGATCATCTGGCCATCCGGTACCTGTTCCTCCGGATGGAATAAAGGTATAAAACTATAGATAATTCATTTGTCACCCGTGCTCAGTCTGAATCTCAAAATGACCTCCAATCTACAATATAAAGAGCCACTTCTGTCTTTTATCGCCCTTGATGTTCCCTTCAAGTTTCATATTTCTGCTTGCCAGATTGCAAAGGCTCACAATCCTTTTTCTCACGTTTGTCTGGTGAGAAAACCTGTACAGTGCACTTCCTGAGGCATTTTTATAAAAAGGTTCTCCGCTAATTTCCTTTGGGCAACCGGTGGTGGCCTGGCTAATTTGCCTTCTGCACTAAAAACAGCTTGGTTAATTTGAATGTTTCCTTCAAGTACATTGTATTCTGATTCCTGTTGACTAACTTTCAAGTCAACAATTTTTGCTGCATGTTTATTTCTGTTTTCTGTCACAACAGCTACACTTAATTCTTATTTTTGCCTTTTCAGTGAGCGCTCTCTCTGTAGCTCTGCTTAGTCTCCTGTTTAAACATTCGGTGCTTAAGAGAATCATCAGTATCAAGAACACACAACGGTTATTAGAAAGAAAAAGATGTCTTCGATTATTTCTGCTTTCATTTGTGTAAATAGATACATAGCATAACAGAAATGGAAGATGATAAATTGCACTTACTAGCTGATCAAACATGCCAGGTTGCATAATTTTAGGGAGGAAAAATTAAAGGTTTGATGATGGTCAGATGAAGACCCTAATCTGATTTTTTTTTTTTACCAATCTCTGCTTGGAAATATCAGGCAAAATTAAATTATTATAATTAAAATTATTCAGGCATATGAATATATCTACAAAGAGTGCAGAGAAGAGCAACAAAGATTGCTAAAAGACCGGAGGATAAAACATACGATGAACAATTGTGGGAACTAGGTATGTTTAGTCTAACAAAGTGAAGGATTAAGAGTGTCCTGACAGGAGTCTTCCAATGTCTCAGGGGCTGCCCCAAAGAAGAGGGAGTCAAGCTATTCTCCAAAGCCCCTGAAGGCAAGAGAAGAAGCAATGGGGGGAAGCTAATCAAGAAGAGATCCAATTAAAACTAAGGAGAAATTTCCTGATAGTGAGAACTATTAATTAGTGGAACGACTTACCTCCAGAAGTACTTTTGCACTTTTTTTAAAAAAAACCTGAATATCTGGAGCAAGAAAACACAACAGTAATCTTGCTAATAGTTATCCAAGACAGTCAGGTTCAAGATTGGCCATAGAATAGAATAGAATAGAATAGATTAGATTAGAATAGAATAGAATAGAATAGAATAGAATAGAATAGAATAGAATAGAATAGAATAAAAAATGGAATGGAATGGAATGGAATAGAATAAAGAATCGAATGGAATAGAATAAAGAATAGAA